AAATAAAATTTAATCATATATTCTTTGACACTACAGTTCTATATCAAATGTTTTCTTAGAACAAACACATGAAGATTGGGAAGAGGCAGTGGGAAGGGACAGGTAAGCTGGGGAGTGGTGTTTATGGAGATGTTTACAATGACAGAACGTTAGTCCATTTTACCTTAATACTTCCTATGTTGACCATACCAAAAAGCTAAAACTCTCACTTTTCTCCCTCAAATGTCTTCTAGCTGCTGATGTGTTTTTGTTAAAGACCATCATCTTCCCAGTCACCCTCTGAGCCTCCTTTATGTCAGCTTTTCATCACACATGCCAATTATAGCTATGTTGTACCTCTGCTGCTAGCCTATCAATTGTTCGATTGTATGTACAGAAGTATAACACCCTACCACCTTGCAAGTACCCTGTTTAAAGTGCAAATTCAATAAATGTTGAGTAAAGGAATGAAAGAATGAATGAACTGACCATTCGGACAAAAATGACGTATTTGGAGGAATACTACTACTAATAGCAGCTGACAGCTATTGAGTTCATACTATGAGATGGAACTGTTCAAAGCACTTGAAAAGTATTATCCCATTTTACAGATGACAAAACAAAAGCACAGAGAGGTTAAGTAACTTTCCTAAAATTTCACTGCATATAAGTATCAGGATTTCAACCTAGTACTTCATTTATAGCTGTCTGTAGAGCTGAAAAGTTTGTAAGACTAGGAAAGGTTTTTTTAAAAAAATTAGAAGAGCTTTATGAAACTGAGAAGGAATACAACTCAGAAAATAGATAAGTGAGTTATTAGAAAGGAGAGGACAAAGTGTGAGATGGGAGATAATTAAGAATAACAAATGTGGGAGAACATCCTAAAAGACTTCTACAACATTTGAGAAGAACGTGCCCACAAAGAAGAGTGAAGAGGTGATACCTTTGAGTTAAGATGAGCTGTTACCTGCAAAGGGTTTTTGCCTGCCTACTTCCTCTTCACTAACCTGAGTACAAGCCTTTTGTCAGCTCTCTCTTCACCATCCAGGGCTCTTTTCCTTGCTCCAACAACAATATCACACCTGGCTTGGAAAAGCAAAGTCCTGCATATAAAAAAGAAGTGGAATTTGGTCATGCTGTGGATATCCCAGAACTCACATGAGATCCTTTGATCATCAGGGAAGAGGGAGCTTACAGGAAGCCAAAGAAAAATGTGTAAAGTACATGTATTAGAAGGATAGGGAAGATGAAGCTTCAGGCACAGGTCAATAATAGACTTGTCCACTGCCAACTCCATATTTTAAATCATTTGTTTGGCACAGGCAGCAGACATTCAGTCAAGCTCTGCAGATGCTATCCAAAAATTCACAGCAGTGGTAGCAAAGAGCATCCTGT